GCTGCCAGTGCGTGGATGCTGGGGCCGACCTACCTTCTGGGACACGGCAGAACTGCCCTTGAGGGCATCCAAGGCTGTAACTCTGTCCGGGAGTGGACAGAAGTGGACAGCTTCAGCTGTCTTCCACAAAGTGGCTAGTGGCTGCTAGTGGTTTTGAACTGCTGACTCTGTGGTTAGCAGCCCAACACATAACACACTTCACCACCAGGGGTCACAGCAGGCTAGGATTAAAATTCAAAGCCCACTGAAACCCTAAGTAACTTTCCCACACCCAGCTGCTTGAAATTTAGCCTAACTGGAAGCATATGTTTAACTATTTAGAACCTGCTGAAGCTGCATTCCAGCCTCCCCCCACGCCCTCCTTTCTGTATTGCTATTCCCAGACAAGAGACTCCCTGAAAGACCCCAAGCCACCGCTAACCTCTGAGCCTCTCTGCTCCAGTGTGGCAGTTACATAATCTTCTGTCAACTTGAGCGAAGGGGTGGAGTCTAGCCTGACAATCAGGTCATAGCCAATGAGGTCTCTGTGTGATCCTCCTGCAGTCAGCGTCATTGCATGTGTTGCATGAGTCTTTAGAGGAATTTCTAGACTGGTATCAGACATAAGGGCTAATAGGGGGCTAATGGTCTTGATCTGGACTGGGCTGGGATGTTTTCTTAATATATGTGGGGGGAAAGGCCAGCCCCCCACAACTAATCACGGGTTCAGTAAGCACAGTTGTACAGTTAAGGTACATAAAGATTATAATAAAGTCCTAGAGAGCATGAGAGATAGAAGAGAGATTGAAATAATGGGGTCTGACATATTTCATAGTAGCATGCTCACCTCCTGGATGGCCATGATCTTACCAACCAGATCCGCGCACAGCGTGGGCCGAGGTGAGGCGAGGCGGATACCCCATTTATTGCTAACCAAGGCTTATATCTACTTAGGGGGTGTGATTACAGATAATCATACACATCACAGGAAGGGGCTGTACAATAGGCAATACAAGCAATAGGAGGGGGGTATACAATGGGCATAAGCATGACAGGAACGGGATGTGCTAGGTGTGTACACATGATAGGAAGGGGAGGGACTAAGGGTATACATGTGACAAGATGGGCGGACCCTAGATTCATGATGGAGGCCTAACCTTGGTCACCCTTGGGTGAGCTTTACCTCCCTGTGCACTGTTTCAGGGAAACAATTACTACCATCCTTATCAGAAGGAAGTGGACCCTACTTGTTATGGGATAAACAGTGGTGACTGCTTGCTCTGGATGGCTGATAACGCTTAGGGAGAATAACCCCTGACCTACTTCTATTGACCCCCACGTATAGTCATTTGCCACGTGTAGCAAGCAGCTAGGTTTGGGATATATTTGGGGGAGAGAACTTGGGAGAAATCTTTCTGTTTCCCACAAATACACAATTACTCTTTGATACAAAGCGCTCTCTTACACACACATAAGTGTCCCCGGATTTGTTTCTCTACTCAACCTGGACTAACACCCAGAGACTCCCCACGTGACCACTGAGCCACGCGACACGGCCACCAGCAACTTCACTGGTAACTTAGTGTCGTTGAGTTCAGTTTCTGTTGAAAGTGCTTCTAATGAATACAAGGAGGCAGCACTGGAGGAACTCTGATGGCAGAGTGGGTTAGCCAGCAGTTCAAAACCACCAGTCCCTCCGAGGGAGAAAGCTGAGGCTCCCTACTCCCGTGA